ATGTATGTATGTATGTATGTATGTATGTATGTATGTATGTATGTATGAACGTATGTATGAACGTATGTAGGTATGTACACATGTGCGCATGTACGTCTGTTGGTATGGTATGGAATTGAATCGGACGGAATGGAATGGTGATGGCAGTATATAATAATGCAATATAATGTTGTGCTATGTCGACCCGAGGGCATTCTATGTCACAACTGGATGGAACCTGGTTGGGTGGTATGACATTGGCTTCTTGGCAACTTCCTGTCAAAGCCACAACCCAACATTCGCATATGGAGCAGCAGTGGAGAGGCGGTCCGTGAGAACGCACGCAATAAAGCACGCAGCCACACATGAGGAGGCAGGCACCTCTCATGCACTCTACAAGGTTCTCCGAGTAGCGTTGGGGGTCGGTCTCCGCTTGCCCTGACATAGAACAGGCTGTAGTACGAGTTCCAATCAAAGGGTGATGCACGATGGACTAAGATCTTGAAATCACATCCATCTCCGGATCCACATTTTTTCAGAGAAGCACATCAACGAAACGCGTTTAAAAAAAACTGCCTCAGGGCCTGGTTGATTGGAACCGGCCTGAAGTGGTTTTCTGATTGGTGGTTTCAACTCGATTGAAAACATATCAGTCAGTGGGTTCAGTCATCCCATATCATCCCCCAGTACAGGTTGAACAATAACGTAATTATCTGAAACTACCACCCAGTTTTTGCTCCCTTGGACGTGTCCATCACTGCCTTCCTGGAAGCCACTGCCACCGGTTCTGCTGCCGACCACCGGAAAGGACGGGCGAACGCAACACATAGGACAACCGGTGTGATCCACCGGTCGCGCTCGCGATTTTCTCAGTGCTGGCGCTCGGATTGAGGGTCGGAAAGTGATCTGGTTGGAAAGTGAACATCTAAGCTGGGTGTACAAAAGATGCAGCATCCAGTAATGTTTCTATGTTGGGATCGCACATGGATTTACCATTCCTGGATGTCCGGTCTTTCTACTGTTGGATGATGAAACTTTATTATTCTGAACATTTCTGATCCATTGTTTGATTGTTCTTATTACCATACCAGTGCACCACTTTGACCTTCATATTTCGGATGGTGCTGAGTTTGGGGACATTTCGGGACCCCTATTTGGCCTTTTTAGGATACAATCCAACATATATAATCCAACGCATTAAAAAATGACAAGCAGGCCGCGTGCACCGAGCTACAAGACAGCATTGAAAGCTGCAACTCGACATTGTTCAGCGACCTGGTCTTCTGTTTCACAACTTAGTACTGCAAGTGACCATGCTCTGCTCTATCCCTATGTCAAAGCACTACAGGTTTCAACAAGGCACCCTCTCTAACAGCTTTGTTTGGGTATCACCGGACCAAGCCGGTTGAGCGCTCAAGGTCTCGAAGCCTGTGGAGGCGGGACTGAACTCCCTCAATCCGTAGTGTCCCGGTCTGTCCCTCAGGGACCCGGTCTGAAGCCCCGTGCATTGTGCACTTGGAGAGTCTCCCAACTCTAAAGCAGCCCAACGCCCCCGTTCTCCGAAAGACAAGGAAGCCAATAAAACAAATCAACATGGCGTAACAATATGTAACAATATGTAAGAATTGTGTCAGCAAACTCTTGGGGCCTCTTCGTAGAAATCGATTGATTTGATGTGCGCAGTGTGACAACTGGGCCTGGGAACCACACGATGTGCGATTCACATTGGGAAGGTCAGGCTACCTGCTTCATTTTGCCAGCAAAAGGACGCCCGGTGCGACTGGCCAAGTCTTGTCATCCATCTCTTGTGACCACAGGAGCAGCAAAAGGCAGCAACAGCAAGAGCAGCAACAGCAAGAAATACAACATACAAATGTCATAGCAAAGAGGTACAGTGGTTTCAGAGTACTTAGGGCACTTGTGGGGTCCCAAAAGTTCGGTGGTTTAACATGCTTGGAATGCACCATCTGTCGACCTCTTGAGGGCGTCCACCGGTGCGGTCGGACGGTTCCCGGCGAAAAGCGGTGTGTCTCCGAAAAGCGGTGGGACCGAATCCATCCGAAACGACAAGGGCCTAAGGGTCGTTGGACCTTGACAAAGACATGAAACGAATTCGTTGGAATCCATGAACACCAATAACATGGAATCAGGGTGATCATCAGGAATGCTCGGCTCAAAAGGAATACAAACGGGACTGTTGTTGAGGGAACAATAGTTCCAGCGCTCTCTGTTTCAAAAATTCGACCCAATCATTTCTATTCAGCTACAGCATTGTTCTTAATTATAAGGTGCGGTTTGGACACGCATGCCAGGTGCTTGTTCATTGAAGCCTCCCCCAGGACCGCACAAAGGAACTTGTCTGCCAAGGGTCCACACCAGGGGTCAAGTCAATCTTTGTTTACTATCATTTAATGTCCAAAAACGTCTGCCCTCTATTATATACAAACCAGTGGAGGTACACCGAAGATTACATAGTTTGCTCACTTTCTTGTATTCTAGCGTTCGTATGTTCTTGTCTCTCATTAAGGAAGGATGTGTGTTCCAATGAGAAAAACACATTGAACAACCATACCAGTCGCGGCCCCGGCCAGTGGCTAAACTAGCAAAGCAGACACAGCGGGTTCGCCCATGTCAGGCTCAGTCGAGGATTAGTGTTTCGGCGGTCCTCACATGGGCGTGGAATTGACGTTGACACCTCATCTTAGCGCTTTTTACCAGGCTGTTGACATCTGTGTCTGTCCACGATCAATCATTTTTGCTGCAGGAACAACACTTTTCTTTTCACAGAACCAGCCAGGACTCACGGCCAAACACATACTGCACATCACACAGTGAAAATTAACCTTGAAACACAGCCAAGCCACGATTGCTCTGCCCTCATCGCATCTTTCGCCATTGCTTTGGCCTTTCGCCGGACCTTGATCTCAGAGGCTGGACACAAGTGACAGCGTCCGCACTCCTCGCCGTGGTGACATCCCTGGGGCTTCCAGAACCAGGCGCATGGGGAGCAACGCCCATCTGCATGCAAGGCGCTCCCCTTGGAGGGTAAGGAAGGAGCCACCTTGGGCAGGGAAGTCACTGGTGTCACTGCCCACACAGGGCTTTGAAGCTCCTGCAAGGTGCGCCTGTCGCCTGCCTCGCAGTTGCTGGTCACTGGAGCTGTGGGCGGGACTTGGAAGTAGGCGACGCACGGGGCGCGTGGGACGGTGTGGGGTACGCAGTTGGTGCAGCAAACACAGCCTGGGCAAGCGCCAGCCTGGCGCCAAGGAGTCAAAAGAGTGGGGTACTGAGGAACCATGGCCTGGTACACCACTGGGGCTGGCATCACCTGGACCGGCTGCATCACTGGCTCAGCCTCCGTCTCACCTGCGAACGCTTGGAAAGCAAAGTTCTCGGTTCCTATCCCAAACAATACCAACCTGCTGCAACAGCGACCTTTTTCGCATCCCACATGGTCTTGTTGGGGTATCCAAGTCAAAACCAAGGAACTGTCACAAAACGGGACTCGGCACTCGCCTGTGCCGCCGGTGACGCTTCCTTTGGCACGGATGGCCGCCACCTTGGCCTGCTTCCTGGCTTTGGCTTCTCCTGGGGCATCCAAACCAGTCTTGAAGTTCCAAAGCAGTCCGAAAGTTTCAAAGTGGCTTCTCCTTGTCATAATGCCAATTGCAATTTCTTTAGGCCACCAAGATGGAGTTGGGGAAGAGACTCCAGCGGCTTGAAAAAGATTGAAAAAGTAATTGATTGCCAGTTCGAGGCACGATCTCGGCGGGATCCAAAGATATCCAAAGGACATTTGTCAGGGAGTGACTGTACTGGCTATAGATGAGGAGAACGAGGGTTTGTATCTGGTCTATGGCGAGGCTCGTTGAGGAAATTGGGAAATGGCCTACCGGCCTACCGGCTCAGTGATCCAATCAATGTCCGTCCAAGCAACATATCTCCTCGGGAGTGACGGCTGGGCAAGCCATCGAACAATGGAACCCGCTCGCAGTGCTAAGCAAAGCTTGTTGAACAACAACCGCTCCCGGGAAGACCATCATGGAGGTCGGAGAAGAACAACCGTCGCAAGCAAACCCCAGGCGACGAGTGACGAGAAGCACTTTGTAGGGACCGCGTACTCTCAGCAAGGGTCATTCTATGTGGGTCTGATTGGAAATGCATGGAAATGCGGCAAGTGTCGTAAGGATTAAGGAACTGGCCTCTTGCGCCGCTTGGGGAAGTTGTGAAACTTGATCCAGGTCCACAACTCAATCAGTGACTTGATCAAGCCTAGGGCCTAGAACCTTCCCTGACCTTCCCTTGCATTCGGTCACGACACCAGGAAACACTGTCTTTGTTTCATCACCAGAGCCCAGCGTCGAGCCTGCTGTCCGTGCAAGAATACAATAAATCATTGATCTGAATGCCTGAAGGCCTAAAGAACTCACAGACTCATAAGAATCGCACCCAGGCAGGCTCCGCCTGCTGGACACATGTGGCAATGCCCGCAGCTGGCGCCATTTCTGCAGCCATCAGCCTTCCAAAACCAAGCGCAAGGCTTGCATTGACCTGCCACAAAGGTTGTCAAAGAAGACCTCATGGGAGTGGCAACAAAGTGAGTCATGCCACTGTGAATGTCGTTTCGCTCGCGCATGTTCCATTTCCCGTTTAAAATTTGAAACCCGATGGTAGACCACTGTCGCTAACTCAGCATAAAAATGCGTTGTTAAAATCGAGCATGCGGTTTAAATATCCTATTTGTATATATATATATATACTCTGGATGTCGGTAGATATGGAATGTAGCGACGTGAAGCAACTCAACAAGGAGTCATTATCCATTGTTTGAATCTTGAATCGAAGGAATTTTCCCAGGAGCGGGTGATGGTCATCGGGACCAGTGTCTAGTTCAACCATGATGCCAAGCATATGGTGCTCATGTCGCCAACGTGGTGTGTTTCCCATGGGGAGCCGCTCCATGTGTTTATGGAAGGGTGTCTTATGATGTGTTCTCACTTGTTCTCAGTTCTCTTTCTCTGGCCTGACGTAACTTGGGAGGACAACGGATAAACCTTCTCTGTCAATCGAACACTTTCGATTTTTGAATGGCATTGATACGATGGGCTGTGCACATTGAACACATGTTACTACTCACGGTACTATTCATACTAGAAACACTTCACCTCACAACGCTTATATACTGGAAGCTACGAGGGGAATGTGCAAGAACATGCAAAAACCCATCCAAAAACTGCTAGAGCTTTTTGACAGAAACTGCGTCGAGAACCTCTTCCCCCTTACACCACAAGCCCAACTACTCAACACCGAGACGGGCCCAGAAAGCGCGACATCGCCTGCGGCATGGAGCTTGGAACCCACCGAAGGCAACTCGGGTTCCACGGAGACCTTAACCTCCGCCTCCTTCGCTAAGGCGCGCTTCGCCTCCGAAGAAAAAGGCCACAAAAGGAAGAGTTGCTGACAAGTGGGACGTTCTCAGGGGTTCGGTATGCGTATATATATATATATATGTGTGTGTGTTGTAGATATGTAATGGAATGAAAATATGGGAAAGCAATGTCAGGTACGTTTTTAAAGGAACCCAATACACAATGTTGTGCTGTGATGGTATCTTAATGTGTCACGTAAGTCATGCATATATCTTTCAATGTGGCCAAGAAGCGGAAGGTGGACAAGATTGGTCTGCTCCTGGGAAAGAGTACCTCTTGTCTTGTCTTTAAGACTACGGTCCTTGCCTGTTGCCACTGCCCAAGTTCAAGCGTGCAACAAAGAAGGGCGCACAAGCTCTTTATGCCTTTTTGTTTGCACGACCCCATCGTTCCATCGGACTGTGATATGACATTTGCACAAAGAAAGGTGGAACACACACAATTTAGTCGGCGCTTGTAGGCCTTGCCCTTCCAAGTCTACCGGTGATGCCTTAAAAGCCGGAACGCACCCTGGTGACCCTGGACACGCCTTTCATTACGACTCAATATGCCCGGATGAAGAAAAACCTTGACAAAACAAATATGTTTTCTACTCCTCTGTCCATCCCTCGAATGAACTCGCTTTTGACATTGTCATGGAAGCTGGGAACATGTTTGAACTAAACGTACTACTAAACGTTTGGTACAGTTGTGAGGCCACACCCTTCAGGTCCCTTCAGGATGATCCTCATCCTTCTCATCCTCATCTGCAACCACTTCACCTCTCTCAGCCTCTCTGGGCGCCTTTTCGATCCCACGGGCTCCGGGCGCCTTCTGTTCACCCTTGCGACGCTTCAACTCACCCGCCGGGCACAAGTGACACCGCAAGCAGGCATCACCGTTGAGGCAACCCTGAGGCTTCCTGGTTGGCAGATCCGAGGTGAGCGACCTTTTGGTGGCTTCCCAGCGGCACTTGTTTCGTTCAGGTGGCCTGATTTTGATAAAGCCACAGGCAGGCTCTCTGGGAACCGAACCCACAACCCTGAACGTGACTAGCTGTGTAGAGATGTATGACAAAAACATGAGACTCATGAGGCACAGCTCGCACATGTGAGTGATACGTATCTCTGGACTGACTCCAATGCCAATTTGGCATGCAAGTTTGGCTAGGAGTCGGGGTGGGCCGAAAGTAAAGCAAGCAAACAAAAAAACACACAAACAAACAAGCAAGCAAGCAAACAAACAAACAAACAAACAACAAAACAAAGCAAAACAAAAGAAACAAACAACAAGAAAAACAAAACAATCAAAAAAACAAAGACAAGAAGGTACAAACCCGAGGCCTTTTGGGCTTTCCAGCCAGAGATTGCTAGAGCTAGCAGTTCAACTAACCTGAAGACATAAATTACTGCAATCATTAGGATTCATTAGGGTCGTCATTCAGGATGCCTCATCCCAGGAATCTCAAGTTGACCAGGTTTGGGTGGGTTTACCGCCCCGCCCATGTCCATCCCCGAATCCCTTCTCCATGGGGCCAGAACCAGGCGCAGGGCAAGCAGCTGCCACCGTGCCGCGCGGAGCCGACGGAAGGCAACTTCACGTCCTGGCCAGGACGAGCACTGTTTCCTTTAAGCGATGCTCACCCAAAATATTTAGCCACAGCCTAAAAATCTAAATTAATAGATACGAACTTTCAAACATGAAAGCTGAACACCAAAAGAACTGTAAAGGAAAATGAAGGAAACATAGTCTTCCAGGCATAATGAGGGCACCAAAACCGCAGTAGTAGTAGTAGTCGTCGTCGTCGTCGACGTGGTGGTAGTTTAGTAGTAGTAGTAGTAGTAGTAGCTACTAGTAGCAGTAGTAGTAGTAGTAGTAGTAGCAGGAGCAGTAGAAGTAGAAGTAGAAGCAGTAGTAGTAGTAGTAGCTACTAGTAGTAGTAGCTACTAGTAGTAGTAGTAGTAGTAGTAGTGGTAGTGGTAGTGGTATTAGTAGTAGCTACTAGTAGCAGTAGTAGAAGTAGCTACTAGTAGTAGTAGTAGTAGTGGTAGTGGTAGTGGTAGTGGTAGTGGTGGTAGTAGTAGTAGTATTAGTAGTGGTAGTGGCAGTGGTAGTGGTAGTGGTAGTCGTAGTCGTAGTAGTAGTAGTAGTAGTCGTAGTCGTCGTAGTAGTAGTAGTGGTAGTGGTAGTAGTAGTAGTAGTAGTAGTAGTAACCTTAGTGGAATTTGTAGTAGCCGTTTGTCGTCACAAAAGTCGTCGGTAGTACCTCATAGTACCTCTAAGGTGGCAGGTCGGACACCTCGACGCCCCCACGTCCTCGGACACGTCTTCTGTTCCGGAGGAGCCTGGCGTGGAAGGCGCCTGGCGCGAGGGCGGTGCACCTGGTTTGGTCGCTGGTTAGGTTGGCAGCTCCAGAAAACCCTGGCCCTGAAAACCTCATTAAGAAGTGTTCTTGCACGATCAACTCCAGTAACATGAGGTCAAAGGACGTGTGGGGAACAAGTGTCCGGTCCACGTCCCTGGAAGAATCATTTTTGACGTGACGACGGTAGATGGCCGGGCCGCCCCGGCTTGTCGCATCCGCAAACAGGTGGGCACCATTGCACGTCCAAGAATATATTTTCAATGGGGTGTATATCATTGTATATCCCAGGACCAGTATGATGGTTACTAAATGTTACTAAAGACATTTACCCCAATCAGTGGTCAGATTTTACCGACTGAACCACCAGTGGGACACACCCTTGGCTCTGAGCCATCATCCGGTGGTCCGGTGGTTGCTATATCTGCTGCTTTCTAAGGCCTCTGGTGATCCTGGTGACCGGCCTGGCGCTCAAGCCCATCCCCCAGTTCGCGGTCCTCCTCTGTCCTGCGAGGCGACGTTGACCAGGTCTCAGGTGAAAGACATGGCAACGTATATAATTATGAGTGATATATTAAGTATATGTCTATTCGATATGATATTGATTGAATCGATTACATTCGTTGGTGGCTTTCCGTAAACAATTGTCATTTAACTTTGTAACAGCACATCGATGTTGCAGCATGCGAAACAAAAGTCCAATCAATTTCGGGAATGGCCATAAGTAAAACCTTTTCAGAGATCCCTCTAACCTTCAAACATGATCAAACATGAAGTCTTGTCACCCCAGGGCCCCAGGCCCTTGCCCTCCGCATCTTACCCTCCTCCTCGAAGGCTCAGTCAAGCACCTCATGGAAGCTCGTCCAAACAAACTTCATTTGCCGATCTCCTTGGACCTCCATTCTGAGACCACACAAAATGAAACCTCCAACAGTTGAAAGTGACAAGCCTCCATTCTTGACCTCCATTTGACCCATTTGACACAAACCATCTGAAGAATCCAATTCACTTATATATTATTCATCACTTCACCACTGGCAGCCGGGTATGGTGTTTTTGGTGTCCAGCGATTCTTGCGGATTGAACGATTCTGATCTGAGATGAGATTCCGGTGGGGGCAAAAACCTGGAGATGTGAGCATTGGTCCCTCTACAAGAATGTGAGATGTGGTTACCGGGGCATTTGGAGACACAAATGAGGGATGTAATGCCATCGGATTAATAACCCCCCCTTCAAGGTCAACAAGGTTTGAGATTGGAGGTTTTGAACACCAAATCCCCCTATAAAGGTGGTGACCTGATGATGGATGATGGTTGCCAGGATTCTGTGTGAACCATGAGGCCTGTGTAAGAGGTACCCCTTGTGAGCTTGAAAACCTGAAGATGTTGATTCAGTTTTAATGTGGGAAATTAATTAATGTTGCTATAATTTTTTAGGGGTTGTAGAAAAATTGAATCTGACCACCAGATATTGGATGCTGACCAAAAAGGCAGTAAATAATAACTATTATTATTAGCGTAAATATATGTTTTTTTTTTTTTCTGGGGCAGCTGGGCTTGATTGATAGGGGAAGGTTTCTGCCAAGGAAAAATTGTTTAGGGTAATGGACATGTGGAATTCAGGTTTTGAATTGGTTTAGTATTGGGGGCTACTTAATCCTATAGGTGCGCATTAGGGCAATCTCAAAAGATCCACCATAACTTGTCTACCGAGTCTACAGTACTAGAATCCCTCTGACTGTGGTTTAAACCCTTCCCACACATCTTTGTCAACTGGGGTAGTCATTCCCCAAATAGGGTTGAAAAGTAGAAAAGTAAATCATAGCACCAACCAGTAGACCTTGTGCTTCGGCTTTAGCCCTTCAGCTGTGGTGGAACTGGCCAAGTTACTCTGGAGCCGGTGGCATTGCCGTGACCTCGAGACATTCGGCAATGGAGGGGTGGTGGCAGCATCAGTTCTTGTTTCTTTTGTCCGCGAACATGTCCTGCTAGGCAGTCGTGCTCGAGAGTTGGGGCTTGGGGTTGAAGACGTGACGGTCTTGAAGGATCCAAATGCTTAGCAACTCTTCATGTAGGCTTTGGACAAGCATAAAAAGGATCTTCACCCAAACAAGTTGGCAATAGTACATCATTTCAGTGGCCCCAATCTTGTTTCATCACACCCATCACGGCTCGAAACCAATCCCTCCACTGCCAAAGTGGCGGTTGTCGTCATGGTCATGCGCCACGCTGAGCCAAAAGCATCCCAAAAGCCAAGATGTTTGGAGCGAAGTTCGAGGACAAGAACACTGGAGCCGATCTTGATCTGATTCCATCTCACCATGTCTTCATCTCCCATTCTGTGCAACTCTTCCATGTGGGCCCACCCAGTGAAGCCAGGTACGATCGTACACCAAACAGTGTCCGTTCGCCCCCGTTGAACAAGCACAGTGTCCACTTCGTGGCTCGGAACGGCCACCACTATGCACACATAGCTGGTTATGGTCCAAACCTCATTGGTGATGTGCCTTTTCAGAAAGCCGACCACTTGCCAACTGAGGCAACATAGTGCAAAAAGCTATATAATTACGGGAGTAGCTAGTACAGTGCATTGAGGTGAAGTTCTTTCCAAAATACGCATAGCCCAGGTGCTGGACATGTTCTACAGGCAATCCGGTGGCGTTTGTTCGGAGGGATGCACAAAACAAAAACATGCCAACTCCAGCTTTCCTTCAAAACATCGCAAGCAAAGGCAGCTTGCATATGAACGACGTGCAAAACCTCTTATGTGTTGTAGTATGCACTCTTCCCAATCTTATCGTTGTTGGTTTATCTTTTTTTCTGTGGACCTTATCGTACCTGGGTGTCTGGACTATAACAACATGGACCAATACCATGTTTTTGTGAACGTTATCGTTCCTGAAGGTTTCCTTCACGGTCCTTCACTTTATTTACATTTATTTACTTGGTCTTCACTGTAGTGATGTTGCCTTCATCGGAGGCTTTGCAGGTTGCTCATATGCTTGAATAGCAACAAACTGCCCCAAAAAAAAGAACAGTGTGAACAGCTCTCCGCGTCATCCCGCACATCTGCTATCGGTGTCCAGCTTTTATTGACAATTGAACTACAGCTGAGCCTTCTTCGCGAGGCAAGGCCAAGATGGCGGGCAAACTTCGTGCACGCAGTGCGATCGAGGAAGCAACTGCAAGGCTGGGTCGCGACCATCGTAATTGAAACCCAGCTTCGTGATGTTCACCGGGTCCATGGTTTATAGAGGACATGCTGTCTCCGAGTCTCCGATGTACTCAACCAGCCCGAGTCTCCACGCGTGACTCCGAGGTCCCGTGGTGGACTCCGGTGACTCGGAGTTGTGTTGGAAGAGGTTAGTGCCCGAGGTCAGAGGCAGTAAGGGTGTGGGAGTGAGGGGCAAGAAACCGGTAGAAGCACTGAAGGAGACTCGGGCCGGCCCTCGATCTTGTTCGGTTTGGTGGGTCTGGTAGAGGCATCACAATGAGGCAAGGCGGTCGAAATGGCTGGTATACAAGATCCTATGGTCATATATGGTCATGGTCCTTCCCTATGCTCATCCACATGGCCGAAATCTCTCCAAAATGACTGAGACCCTGCCTTGAAGCACACCGCTGAACACAGGAAAACCTCTATTGATGAGAATCCCCCTACTACAAGCACCTCATGTTGAGAAACATGCTGGTTCAGCTGTTGAGAAACACGCTATAGTTCAAGTGGACAAGCTCTTTGAGTATGACTTACTAACCGTATTTGGAGATATTTGGCCATAGCCACCAACCAAACCGTATGTTTAATTATGTACTGTGTCAATCAGTGAGTGTCACCTGAGGAAACAGCCGCCTCACCGCTCTCCGAGTCGCACCGCGCTCCCCGTCAGCGCCCGTGAAAACACGGCGCGCGCCCCGCGAGGCCGGAAAGAGCACCACTCGGTGGCCGTCGTCAGGCGCTTTAGCGCTTTGTGGCGCGTTGATTCACGTCACGAGCAGGGGATGAACTGAGCAAGATTCATTGAATTCATGTAGACTGTCAACCAAATCTCCATGCAACATGGTTTATACATCTCAGGGCTCATCAGGGCTCTTATTAATAAAATTGAGAGAACTGCAGCTTGTGCAAATGTACCTGAGGGACCTGGGACATCTTGTCAAGGCAACCTCCAAACATCAAGAGATGGACTATGCCCTCGCATGATGAATGGGCGATTTCCACCAAAACGTTTTTAACTGCAAAACTTGACCCCCTAATCGTGAAATTATGGAGCATGTATTGTATATACTAATACACATGTATAGATTGATCATATTACAGTATATATAAATAAAATCAGTTGATGGATTAAGGATGGGTATGCAGTATATATATATATTATGTATATATCATATTATATTTGGTGCCAAAGGCTTTGGTTACCCAAACGCCAATCGGAACTGATCTATACGTAGCTAATCACTCCTGAACAAAAACGTTCGGACAATGGCCTCGCTCCTTGGCAACGTCCGGGTAGCTCCAGCCTTTCTGGAGTGATAGACTAGCCGATAGCAAAAAAAACAAAAAACAGCCAAATAAGATCTCACCTCGGTGCCAAACTCCAAATGTTTCCATACTGCGTACGTAGATGACATTGCAGTAAATGACATTGTACCAACTTGTCCTCATGACAGCGCGACGTTGTACCCCCTGGTCCTCAAAGAGGCCGGCTCGAAGCATGTGCGGCACCAAGCATTTTCGGGCACCGAGCACGTTCGGGCCCAGCAGGGCTTGGAACATAGCTTGAGTCTGAGTCCGCTTCGTGATCGTAAGAACACCTTCTATTGGGAAATGAATCGCGTGGGTGCGTGGTGGTGAGGGTCTATCTTGACTGTCTGCGCGACAGTGAGAGTTCGGACCGGTCCTCCCCGAATGAACATGACGTCTGAGCAAAGCTGGGTGGAATCCAACTAAACATTCCTGCGAATTGCGGATCAGCTGGATTTTGCTCCTCAACACCGCTTGACAGGCTCCCTTGACGTCGAAAAGTCCAACGACAAGAGCTATTGGGGGCATGCCCTCGTTTAATCAACAAACCGATAATAAAAGGTCATCTATGCCATGACCCAGAACCTAGTTGGATGCTCTGAGGGTCTGTGATGGTCCCAAGTGTGCCATCGGCATCGAGCCGGGTCACAAGTTTGCGAGCGACAGAGAACGGCAAATGAGGGACAGTCTGAGCGCCAAAAATTGACCCGAATCTCTCAGAACTACACGTGCTAAAGGAAAATAGTCCTAAATCTTCGTTAAACTATGGGGTGATCACTGGGTTACCGAAGAAAGTTTCAGAATCATGCGTTTCAGAAGAAAGTTCAGGACTCAGGACCGTGATCGTGATCGTGACGCATGGTATGTTGACAAATACTTTAAAAAAAAGAACCTGCAAGCTAGGGGACAGCCTGGGGGTGGGAAACCCTGGAAGAACATCTTTCTAGACCTGGTACGAGCCAAGCTGAGACGAGCAGCTATCCCTATCCAGTGATGTCCTTTAGGGAAGAAGTACGGGGTCGGTTTGTGCCATTTACCTATTGGTGGTGCACTTGAGGGTTTATCTAAACTGCTATCCATGTGTGAACTCCTGGAGAACAAACAAGCTTGATACCGCCCATTGGGTGGCTGGGTTTTGACAGGCCGGATGCTTTATTGCAGGTCGGTATACCGAAGTGTTCCTTTCTTAAATAGTCTTGTCCAGCGGCCCCGAATGCCGCAATCATGCCCTAACTTCTGATCGTGAACCACTGGAAGTCTTTCAATGGTGGCTTCAAGCGCCTCCAGCATTTCCAGCCCTCTTTGTCCAAGCATCACAAGAGCCCACTTCCAGACCCATCGAATGATGTCCACTTTCATGACTCTCCCTCATACACCGCTTTGAACAACTGGCCTTTCAACTACTAAGCTGCTGTGGCTTGTCCAGCTTGAACCGCCCAGGGCGGGACTTGGGGGAAGGAATCTTCAGGATCTGTCGGTGGATGTGCGGCTGCGACTTGCACCAGCAGCTGTCTATGGTCGATAGCAGCTTGACAAGCCCAAAGGTGTGTGGGCTTCTTGAGGGCTGACAGAACCAGCTCGATGGAGCCATGTTCCTCCTGCTCTTCAAGAGTTTTCGGATCAACATTGATTGGTCTTCGGGGATAAACATTTACAGAGTAAGTACAGTGAGTACAGTCTGTTGGGGAGTGGAAGGTGCCTCAAGAGCGTTCCAAACAGTTCCAAACAAACATATCTATAATTATCTATATAATATGTGTTTGTGGTTTGGGCATGTTTGGGCATTGTTCCTTTTCTAGAGTTTGTCATGGCACTCAGCCATCCTTTGTTTGTGGTCGCAAAGGATGGCGTAGAGGTATTGGAGTGAGTCTCAAATCTCCATAGGAGGCCCTTCTTGTGTTGAATTCACAGGGCCCAACCGATGACGCAGCCTCAAGGGCCCAATCTTGACTATAACCCTGCTCAATTATCGTTTGACTGCAACCAGGTTGAGGAGTTTAAGTCCTGTCTCCGTGTGATCTCATGATCCAAAAGATTCAAACATGCCAAACATAGAACAAGAAGAGACTCCATCTTGCTCGCAGCTCGTCACCTAAAGCCACTGGCTGTTGCCCATCTTTTTCGACTTCGGAAGCGCTAAATTTCCGATCTTCTTCGTCCTCCTGGCGGGTCAACTAAAACAGTCAGCCGTGCAAAGCATGTGCCAATACGAGAGATCCCAGTTACCACTATTAAGATCTACTAAGGAACCAGAGTTGCTTGGTCTACCCTTTTTGTCTTTTGAACCACTAGTTATACCTACTATAGTATAGTGGTATCGGACCACCGGATGCACGGAAGTTATATATATATATATGCATGAAACGATGCATGAACAGCTTCGGCCAAGACCTTCTCGGAGCGACCCCTGACCTCTGGCCACCTCAAGCTGGGATATCTAGTTTCACTGTGAAGGACCTCTGCCACACGTGACATCGCACTCGCAGAACTACTTGTTTTTTCATGCCTTTGCCGTTTTCTTGGTGCATGCTTCCCCAACTCCAAGAGCCCAATGAGTGCTTTCATCGGAAAGGGTGAGTAGCTGCCAAGATCTGTGAAGGGAGCAAGCTGCCAGCATCGGGCTGCCTTTGGCTGTCGGTTCCATCAACACCGTCTCACTTCATCAGACTCGTTACCCAATCAAAGTCTTCATCTTCGGCTTTCTGCGGAAC